AGAAGGATGACTTGCTCAAGGTCACCACCTAACTGGGGAGGATCCTGAGTCTGGTCAGGGAACTTACCAGGGCCTGGCTGTAAGAGTGACTAATTCTCCCTTACACCAACCATCTGAGTACAGGTGTGTGCTGTATGGCTCCCCGAATGGTGCGGTGCTGCCTTACTTCACAGATGCCGTCTGGATAACCCAGGTGGAACTCTGGAAATCTCCCGTCTTTACTTTCACCAGCTCTTCCATTCCATGACCTCTGGCTCTATCTGGCCTCTCCCAATCCTCCTTCTTGCTACCTTCCCAAAATGCTAATTAAGGTTGCTTAAAGTAAAGTGAGCCCTTAGAGTGGGTGAGGAGCTGTTCGTAGCTCTTTCCTTGAATTAACTTGTTTAATGTTGACAACAATTCTGTGGAGCAGCCACTGGCATTAACTCCAATTTACAGATAAGAAAACAGAGGCACAAGAAGTTAAAGTGGCTGACTGAAGGTTACACCGTAAGTGGCAGAATTAGGATCTGAACTCAGGCAGACTGGCTCCTGAGCTTGGGCCTCTCAGGCCAGAAAACCCCCTCTGTAGGTTTTTATTTTTCTAGTAATAACAATGTGTAAGTTGTATGGATTGCTTACTACAGTGAGGTCTAGGAGAACAGGTCTTCTCAAGGAGACCACAAGGGTACACCTGCAGGGTCCTCTCCATGGTGACTCAGCTCTTGGGAATTTGTAAACTTAACTTCCTGGAACTTGGAAATTCCACTTCTGTGAAATACTGTAGTTCTGTGGGGGCTGGAATAGCATCTCTTGCTTGATTCAAACTGGCCAGTGAGAAAGATACCTGTGAGTTGGAACTTTTTGACTGGAGATAAAAAGGGAAAGACCAAGCCAGTCGTGGAGCTCAGCCATTTGGAATTCTTCTATGCCAAAAGCTCCGCCGGTGAATAAAGCCTCTTCCCCACCCCCATGAATAAAGCCCTCCCTCTTATAAATGGTGTTTGGATGCTCTTTCTCTCCCTTAAGCCTCATCTTCCTGCAACATTAGGACCTGTTGTGGTTGTGTTGCACGCATGAACTCATTTGATTTTTTTTTTTTTTTTGAGACAAAGCCTCAAACTGTTTGCCCTGGGTAGAGTGGTGTGGCATCACAGTTCACAGCAACTTCCTACTCCTGGGCTTAAGTGAGTCTCCTGCCTCTGCCTCCCAAGTAACTGGGACTACAGGTGCCTGCCACAATGCCTGGCTATTTTTTGGTTGCTGCCATCATTGTTGTTTGGCGGGCCCCGGCTGGATTCGAACCCGCCACCTCAGGTGTATGTGGCTGCTTGAGCCACAGGCACCGAGCCAACTCATTTGATTCTTAACAATAGTACTAGAGTATTAGGGATATTACGTTTATTTTTTAGATAAGGAAACTGAGGCATAGAGTCCCACAACAAAGATGAGTTACTAGACAGTCTAGCTCCAGAGCCAAGCTTTAAATCGCTGTGCCATCCACTGCTAAGAGTCTTTTTTTTTTTTTTTGAGACAAGTTCTTATTCTGTTTCTCAGAGGGCAGTGGCATCATCTTAGCTCACTGTAACCTCAAACTTTTGGGCTGAAGCAATCACAGGCCAGATTTTAGAACTAGTATTTATCTCATTTCCTAGATCACAGCAAGGGGACTGTCATATAGTAGCAGAAGTCATGTCTTACTGAAGCACAGGACTTCAGAAGGGTTTCTAAATCCTCTCTTAGAGGGAAGTGGCCATCCAGCAAGACTGGAACATTACGCACAGTTTAGGACTTGGGGTCTTGGCCTCCAAACCCACCCCTAAACCCTGGATCCTTTTTTGTAACTTAAATCCTATTTAATAAGCCCCCAGGCTTTCTGCTAGAGAAGCCATTGTTATAGCAAAGTCAAGCAAATGCTCTGTCAATGGATTCCCTACGGTAGCAAATCTTTGCCCCACCCACAGCAGCTTAGAAACTTGGTAATTAAGCCTTGGGAATGCAATGTTTCCCTATAACTATAATATTGTTTTCTCCTTGAGAGGGAGAGTGTCTAGAATATGTGCTGCTGTGAGAGGATCTTATGTGTGCTGTGAAAATTTTTAAAGCTCATTAAATTATTTTTGAAAGAAGTCCAAAGCACAGTTAAGTATATTCTTTTTTTATAAACATAATTTATTTTACTTGTTTTTATTTTTTGTAGAGACAGAGTTTCACTTTCTCGCCCTCAGTAGAGTGTCATGGCGTCACAGCAACCTCCAGCTCTTGGGCTTAGGCAATTCTCTTGCCTCAGCCTCCCAGGTAGCTGGG